GGAAATTTATTAATGGAACGGTTTTGAATCCCGAAAGTCAAGTACTTAAAGGGGCTCCAGAAGCAAAATTCGTACGTCGGGGGATTAGTCCTGCTACGGCCCAAAAACGAAAAGGTCTCACTGCCGAGAAGTGCCAGAAAAGCGATTTGATTGCGAAAAAAACGTAAAATGTTTGAGAAATCGAACTCTTTTCGGGGCAAAAACGACATTCTGAGTGCGCGGCAATTACATGTCATGTACCCTTATGGAAGCACCCCGTCTCTCGATCTCGGCGATCCTCTGGTCAATTTTCATAATTTAAAAGTCTGGAATGATCAAAATTCGTTGAGGATTCCAAAAATAGTATCAGAATTTTTAAAATTGAAGCGTTTTCGTGTCGAAATCGAGGCAAAAGATCATGCGGCGCGATCGCGTTGCGACTGGATCCGGCCTGTTGCACTGGAATCACAGCAGGGGACCGTGGACCAGATTTCGAAGCCCCTTTAAATTTACAACGTTAAACTTTTCATATTTTGCTATGATTTAATTAATTTCATGACACCTACACTCCCTGGACGCATTGCGCTGCCGTCAAAACGGTGTCCTTATTCATAATCGATCCGGTACAGCGCGATGCCGGAAACTCGCTAAATTGGTATGCAGCCTTAAAAGATCGATAATTACGAATCATTTGCGTCTTGCCGCATAATCGCCACCACAAATGGAAACGCTTTTAAGTCGTGGAGAATTTCTCCATTATGAATTGGCCAAATGGTCGGTAGGTTAATAAAAACCAGAAATATGGGGATCGCCAGGGATACTTGCATCATTTGTGATTTTCGTAATAAATTCTGAGACCCATTCCAAGGCCTCAGGCTTGCACGGGGTGAATTGATTTCGACCGGAGCCTTCATTCGCGAATATTCCGCCCCAACACTTCTTCGGCAATTAGGTGAAGCGTAGTGGAAAACACCAAAATTTTTTACGTTTATCAGGTTTCTTAAATTTTTATGATTAAAAGCTAAGTTATACAAAATTTTTTGAACTTTGCTTTTGCAGAATTTAAGTCCTGTTCAGCCTCTTCAGAGGCTGTCCATGACCTCGTATCCTTGAAACGATGTACACCTACTGCTTTCCAAGAGAAAATATCCGGTTCCGCCTCAAATTTCCGGGATAGAGGCAGACCCAGACTTAAAATTGATTTCAGTGGACTTGCCGAAATAGACTCTATTACCCATTTTCACTGGTATTGCTGCGCTTCTTGCTTTACGCACGGTAATATTCACTTGATGTTTGCCAAAAATATTCATTTGCGCGTTTCGGTAAAAAATCTTGCTTTTACCACGACGAGATTAAAAAATTATGAAATCTAAAAGCGCAAAATAGGCCCAAACTTTTCAATTTCCGAGCAACGTTTGCCTGTGCATTGAAAATTTTCAACAATTCTTTAATCTGGGCATCTTGTCGATTTTAAAAGCAACATCAGAATAAGCGAAATTGTAGGCGAAGGCTCCCGCGTGCGGGAAACTCGATTGTCTCTAAAAATCGGTGTTTTCCGTGTAAGCGAGGGAGCAAACGAGTTTCTTAATTAAGCGTATCCTACATGGCAATAAATCAAAATCTAGTTCAGGAAGGTTTTTGGTAGTTTCTGAGCACCAAAACACTGTGAAACTTTATCAAGAACATCTTATAATTTTTTTCTTGTATCCTAGGTTTCTGCCCAAATTTGGTTATTTTTCATATGGTTAGCCGCGAAAAGTCATTGTTTTTTGAAGGTTTGTTATTTTTGAAAACGCTTGCATATGCATTATTGTTGGTCGTTGAATCAAATCACTGTGAATGCTATTAGAAAAATTGCTTGGGTTTGTTACTTCACCCCTAAAACGCCCTTCGCAAGAAAAGTCTTCCTTGCTCCCCCGCTAACACAAAAGCAACAAAAAGCGTAGGAAGCTACAGACGTTTCATTTCTAGCCGACGACCCGATTGCCGCGTTCAAGGCCGTCGACAAGGATGGTGACGGAAACGTCACTTTTGATGAGGTGCGCAGCGAGCTGATGGCGCGCGACCGTGGTGTTCTGGATGGAAAGGCCAATTCAGCGTTGAGGGCCGAATTCTGGGCCGTGGAGAAAACTCGCGATCGCAGGCTGAACCAGCAGGAATTTGTGAATTTCTACCCGGCGTTTAATAAGTTTCGAAGGAGGCGTGAGAACTGCGAATAAAAATATGCATTGAAAAAGCGCGAAAACAATTTATGATCGGCAAATACGGCGAAAAGTGATAAATTCTGGTGAGAACTCGAAAAATTAGGGTTTCTTCTATATTTATAGGCGATCCAAGTCCCGGCATACAGTACTTTTTGAAGCCGTCTCGATCCAGCTACAGTAATAGCTGGTACTGATGAAAACACCTAAAATGAGATCAGATTGATATAAAAAAATTGCCGTACCTCTATTCTCCACATATTTACAGTCACTATCACCGCTGCTGATGATTCCGTTTTGAATCCACAATTTCTCGCCCCGCTTGGTGGTCCAGGGCACGACAAGCGGGCCCCCGGAATCGCCCTGAACAAATGTTTTAGGTCGCACGTGGCTGTCGAGACCCAGTGGGATGATTCTGTGCCTTCCCAGTCCCTTTAAAACTCCGATCTTACATACCAAACATGGCCCAGTCCCCCGTGCTTCCCCGCAGACGATCAGTTCGCCAACCGAGCGCGGCACGATCCATGCCAAGCATCCCTGCGGTGAGTACATGGTGATGTACGTCGACTTCAGCTCGTTAGGGCGGGCAGAGTCTGGGAATTTAAGTCCAGTTTCGTCCTTCGATACCAGAATAGAAAGTGTCGCCTACCCTTCGAAGTCTGGCCCCATCCCATCACTTTGGCTTCGACACCGGCCCTCTCAATATTAGAGTTCTTTTTGACGATGGTGGTCGGCCAAACTTGACCTCGGATCAGTTTTAGTGGTGTTGTTAACTGAAAGCGCGATTATGGAGGAGGTTCTTAGGTTTGGCTGTTTCTTAGTGGAACCGTTCCTTTACAAAATTGGCACAGCATTAATTTTGTGGATTGGCATTAATTTTGTCGATTTTTTGGGACAGCCTGCACAGCCTGTGCGCCGCGCGTCCGGCTGTACAGCCCCTTAGTGGGCCGCAGGAACGTTCGATCGGGTCGATTTTTACACCATTCTACAGCCAACGACGAGTAAACAGACGCTTTTTGTTTTACATTTTTTTGCCCGCGCTTGATATTTATTAACGGATTTCCAAAAAAAAACGCACGCAAGATCAGCGTAGTACTGTTTGCTTGCGCGAGCATTTGCTACGGATTTTGCATAAAATCTACAGTGTTGATTTTCGTCCTAAAATTCGTTAACTAAATGGCTTATTTTGAAGAACTAAAAGTGCTTTTTTTTCTCGGCTTTCCGAGAGCTTTTGATAGATACCTACATCGTCAAAACCGTGCACTTGTGCGGCCCGGTAGAGAGGGCCGGATTTGTTTGGGACACTTTGTGGTCAAATCAAAAACAGTCTAAACAATCTAAGCAGGAAGTCGTCCCTTCCCGTAAGTTTGCCTTATAAAACCTCACCCTCAAGAGCGCAATATCGGCCTTGCGAAACGGCTGCTCCGGGCTGATCGAAACGTGGCTATATTGTTTATGGAAGACAAAGTGGTCGACGTTGACTTCTTGCTGAAAAGTGTTTTGTAGTTAGGATCCAAACGTCTCCAACTCGAACTGATGATTTCGTCTTGATTTCGGTGAAACCGGCGAGGACTTTTATCTGCATGGGTTCGCTAAAAAATTATTTTTTTGTAGCTAAGGAAATTAATTAACGTATTTCGATAGTTCTCTTTCTAAAGAAATTAACAAACACGCTTTGGAGGCAATGCGCAGCCGTCCAGAATCAGTTCTCGTCAATGATCGAACCGCCGCATAAGTGTAGCAAGGTTTTGCTAAATTTTCCGCGTAAAATTGTGTATATTTCTTTATTATCTGAACAATATTTTCTTTAAAAAAATGGTAATTTACGGGTCCATCGGATTCTTCTGCATCAACGCGACGACGAACGGGTTCTCGGCCATATTCTTGACGATATCACCACCCAGGATTGCGCGGCGCTCGGCCATCAGGCCAATGAGAAAGGATGCAAAGACCGGAACATGGAGCCAAACCATGACTTTACGTATTTTATGAAGGTCTCCAGGGTTTGCTTATATAGCTTTTGCGTTCCATACGAGTTTGGCACCTCTTCAAAAAGCATCATAAAGCATTTGTCGATTTTCAATGGGCTTTTAGGCTGGTGAAAACTGTAGTAGAGAGAGGCTAGACAGCAACTAAGACGATTTCCGGTGAATTTGAAGAGTGAGTAGGCCTGACGATGTGGACAGTATCGTGAGCGTCCGAGTGCGCGTTGCGTGCCGCACTGCGCTAATACCAAAAAAAACTCCGACCAAGGCTGTTTTTAGGCAAAATTCAGCCAAAGTAGTTGTTTTTCGAAACAAAAGACCATCTTTGAGATATATGGATGGTCAGCTGGCTGCCGCCTGGGTCCTACACCACTTGACGCAGCATTTTCGCGTGGGTTTTCTCACTGATTTCGTTTTTCGTTTTATTTTCATACGCGTTTTAGCAAACCAAACTCAAAAACCACTCAAATACCCACGTATTCCGAACTTAACAGACTGGCTTTAGACGAACGATATCGGTATTGTAAACTTATGCAGTAGAGCGGCGTGATTGTTTTGAAAATGTTGGCTTTACTCAGGCCTTGACAACGGCCCGGCCAAATCTGGAATTTCAGGCCCGGGCCCGGCCCGGCCCGGGGCCGGGCCTGGGCCGGGCCGGGCCGGGCCGGGCCTGGTCGGCCCGGTACTAAATAAGGCCAGGGCGGACGGATCAAATTTTTTTGGCCTGTGACGGGTTTTTTGGATATAAATCGCGGCAATACTTTTGAAACAGTTTTTAACTAATTCTGCATATAAAAATTTTACAAACTTTTTGAAAACTATTTACAAATCTATTGGTGCCGGCCAATAGTCAGGTCAACTACCGACAATTTTTGTATGTGTTCTGCCGTTTTTCGGCTAAGATCTATAAAGCTGATCCTGAAATACCCTACATCAGGTTGTAAACCATCCTAAAAGTTCCTGCTAGTCCATTCAGGCCAAAAGCAACTTAATTCCGGCTTATAAACCTCCTAGAGCTTCTAAAAAACTACAAACCAGGGCTGTCAATTACCCGGATACCGTCACTTATTGACTTTTTAGAACGAAAGCACAAATTAACGAAAAAAATTTGAAAAAATGTGAACGAAGTCGAAAAAAAAATCGTTTTTTGGTTCAGAATTCGAAAAATTTTCTCCGAAAATCATCGTCCAGGACTGGACCGGGCCTAGCGGGCCCGGCCCGGCCCGGCCCGGACCTCCAAGTCCAGGCCCGGGCCCAGCCCGGGCCCGCCAAGTTTGGGCCCGGCCCGGGCCTTGCGGCCCGGCCCGTTGTCAAGGCCTGGCTTTACTGGGCTTTTGGCGTCATGGTGGAACTGAGCTTGAAACGGATAGATGATTTTATTGCCTTTTGTGAGAAAGTTGAGTGAAAAGGGGAGTAGCACTCAAAGATTCGCATCACCAGCGTTCATATCTTCTCACAATTCATTCATATCATGACAAAGGTTGTTGATATTTGTTTGTTTCTGGATCCAATCGCAGTAGTAGGCTGTGTTCATGTAGGTGCCTGGAAAGATTTTTGACTCCACACACCCTCTCTCTCTTTCTCTCTCTCTCTCTCTCTCTTTATATGTCTCTCTCTCGCTCCCCTATCTCTCTTTCTCTATCGCTATCTCTCTATCGTTGCGGTATCTCGTTTCAAAGTTATCAAAATTATACATCCAAACCTTACCCGTTGAGCCCTCGTATCTTCTATCTCCCGAGCTAACGACGAGTCCGATCTGCGGGTAATACCTCCTCCCCTGGGATCCCCTTAGGTGAAGAACCAATGGCCCTCCAGAATCTGCCTAAAATTTTACCCCTATGCTCTCTATGTACTGCCTCGATCTCGGCTCTCCAAAAAACAACCTACCTTCAGAGGCCCGGTTCCTCGACTCCCGGCGCATATCACGTATTTTACATACCTCGCCGGCAGGTGCGGCTTCGATAGGCGACACCCGGCGTCCGTGTAAATATCGACAGTAGTGCTCCGCAGATCTGGGGATGTGTCCTCACCTAAACATTGTCAGCTAATTGTTCTAATGCATCGGAAGGAACCAAGGCTTGCAGGAATTTAACTGTACCTGGAAGAATTAAGCCCATTTTTGCTAAAAAGGCTTTTTAGCAAAATCAAACTGAGCTGAAAAGCTAACTGCGACCACTGGTCGCCTTTAAGTTTAACCCAAGTTCCTTAAAACACAAAGAAACGTTTGTCGAGTATAGGCGAAAAAATTTAACGTCTGACAGAAAGGATATTCGGAATAGTGAACGTAAGCCGACCTGGAGCAGTTCTTCCCCAGCCCATCACGACTCCCCGTTGCCGTGGCTGCTTGAGCACAATGTTCGGCTTCACCAGCAGTGTCGGCATTGCCTGCTTGGATTTGAGGAGTATTGGTGTCTCGAGCTAAACAGTGTCGTAGAATCGATACTTTTATAGGAAGCGGTGATCAGTGCCAACTTCTAAGATGATGATTTCCAAGCACTGATTTTGCTAAATTGTGACTTGCGAACTTTTGAATTTTCAAGGTAGATTTGGCTACGGTTTACTTTACCCCCCCCAGCCGAAGGTTTTTGGCTATAAATTTTTTATTTTACATTATTGTATGCTCAAATTAAAACTCTTAGTTTATTTTTCGACGCTCTATCGAATGGCGCTGCAAGAATCCCGACAAAATAAGCGAAAATACCGACAACTTTGTGACCCTTCGGCTGTGGGGTGAGGTAAAGTAAACTCTTACCGTAGATTTTACCAATTATGTTAATCTTGTTTGTTAATAAGTAATAAATATGTTTCTCGCGTTAATGGCTTTACTCAACCAGCATCGTCGCTGCTACTAACCTTAATCCATACCTTAATCAGCCCAATATCAGCTGGATCGTAAGCTTTTCTCAATTCGCGGTCATGCCTGGGGTGCGCCACAAACTGCGACGCACGAATCAGTTGCTAAAAAGCGCCTACAAAAAAAACGTACTCTATGGACTGACCCGCTGTGACGAGTTATCGCGAATATTAGCCACCCCTGCGATTATTGTTACGAATATCGGCTTGCTAAAGTGATCAAATGAGTCTGAGGTAACAAGGCGCGATTTTTAGGCGATCTTGGTCGATTTTGAGCATTTTTGGCTCCCGCTTCACAAAATGCGAACTTTGAGAAACTTATTCTCGAAGTCCGTTGCCGCTCAGCAATTTTTGAATGTTGGGACTTGTTTAGAATTTTAAGTTCTATCGAATGAGCTATGTCGCATCGCAAAATTCCAAGATCACCTAAAAATCACTTCTTGGAAGAAAAAGAGGGGACCTGAAATTAAACCTACGTGCCATTAAAACAATGTGCAGCCGTCAGAATCCATTCTGCGTTGACAATGGAGCCAACGCAGAATTGCTCCAAGCCGTCTCTAAATTTTATGGTAGTCTCCACAAAGTGGCCTACGGCTCTTTAAAATTTCGCTGCATGATTGCGACGGCAAACGGGTACATGTTCATATTTTGCACGATTCGACCGTTGAGAATCTTTTGATTTCTTTGCAGGGCAGCGGCGCGGTCAGCGACCTTCAAAACGGCATAAAGGAAGAGCAGAAGGTTGTTCCAAGCCATGGAAAATACACGCAGATCTAGTTTTCTGTTCCCCCAACCTTCACAAAAATTCAATAAAAACTGCTTTATTGCATTATAAAAATAGGCACCGGCCCCTGAATGTCCCCTCTGCAACTTTAGCAAGTGATGCGTTACATCTGCTTAATTCTTTTAGACGGGCATTTTATGTTTTACAAAAACCGCGTTTTGTGCGTTGTTATAAAGTTTTTAGCATATTTTGGTTTGCGTTTGGAAGGCCAAAGTAATAACGATTTATTCAGTCACCATGCTTGCATCTCCCGAGCTCCGGAAAACAAGAGGCGTGCTTCGCGTCAGTGATAACCGCGTACCCGTCCGAGCAATTTTGGTCCAATATTATTGATCCTACTACCCTACTATATATAAAAAATAGTGTTTGTGTGTGTGCGTGACACTTTACATGCAACTTTCTCCAGCGTGTCCGAAGGAAGAGAGGGAATGCTTTTCATTTTTTTGTCGTCGGAATTCAGGAAAAGTATGCAGAGTGGAGAATAACATCGCGCTAAACGGGGCCAGGGTTGAAAAGTCGCGAAGCGGCTTTTCAACCCTGGTTTTAGAATATATTTTATAACGCCCGATCGATACGGTAATAGATGATGGGAATTAGCGCAAGTTCCTCCACGCAGAATCTCGGGTATTTGTTGAGAAATATGGGGGCCGAGCCGGCGTCAAACATCCGGCCCAGCGATACCTTGTGGATTTCACGCTCGCCCCTCTTCCACTCTTCGATAAGTGCCTTCGAAGGCACAGACGATCGCGTTGCAATGACCACAAAGTCCTTAAAACGCTGTTTCTAAGCCAATCTTCCAATTTTTAAGCCAATTTGTTTGAGAATTGTTTCGTATAAGAATTTATTTTTCTTCTGCTAGACACTATCATAAGATATTCGCATCCTGGCAGACCTCGCGGCCCACCACCTCCTTGACCCATCCGCAGCGCGGCGGCAGATATTCGAAACTCTCTGAAGGTAGGATTAGTGCGGATTTTACTTATACGTACCTGGATGGTCTTTCGTGGTACACGATCCCGGCCTGGCGTGTATGAGCGCGATTTGAACCCAAGCGACCGTGTGTTTTTGACTCACCCACGGGTGCATCAACGGGCCTCCGACATCGCCCTGTGAAGCGGAGATTGGCTGAATTTGCAGTGTTGAAAAACCTGACATATCCCGGGGAAACTGGTCGGCACGGCGCAGAAGTAACCGGGCGACAATTCTAAATCGTTTGAATAATGTAACAGAGAGGAGAGAAAGAGAATGAGTGTGAGAGAGCGTGAAAGAGTGAGAGAGAGAGATCGCGAGAGCCCGAGAGAGTGAGACAGAGAGGGAAAAAGTGACAGAGAGAGGGATGGAGAGCGAGAGAGCTAGAGATAGAGCGAGAGCAACAGAGAGTGACAGAGAGAGAGAGAGAGGGAGAGAGAGAGAGAAAGTGACAGAACAGACATCACTACCAGTAAGGCTTTCGCATCCCGATTCCCCATTCACGAAAATGGCTCGCAGGCGCTCCTTTGGATCTGAAAATCAAAAACCCGATGCCAAATTTTTTAATCTCGACTGGGAGCATTTTTTTGTACAGTTTCGATTTACCCACCGCTCCCAGGCTGACCCCAGCCCAGCGCAGTCAGGCGCTTTTTGTCCTGCGCGAATTTGTGTGCGTCCATGGCGAGGAACACTGGCTGCACGCTGTCCCCGAAGCTGAGTGGCTCGTTCAGCTAGACTTCAATTTTGAAGGAGGAATGTGGCTGCTGACCCGAAGCAGCGCGATCTCGGGAGTTCTCGTGAGCCATCCGCCAATACTCGGGATCTTGGGAGGGCTGCGCTTCTCGGTCACCTCACGCGTTTGCTATTTTGTACCAATGCGTACTCATAAGTGAGAGAGTGAACCTTGAGAAGTGAAGCTGTTCTCAGCTCAGCAACGCCGGCGATGACCACCAACTTGGTGAGGTCACTAAAGAAATTAAATTCAGGGCAAAATTCAGCGATCCTGCTTGCCAGCTCTTTTTCTTCTCTTCCTCATTGCACTCTCACCCTCACGCTCACGATGTATTTTTAGCTCTCTTCCACTCGCTCTCTCTCTCTCTCTCTCTCTCTCTCTCTCGCTCTCTCTCTCGCTCTCTCTCTCTCTCTCTCTCTCCTCACACTATGGAAGACCTACACTTCTGCGACGCATTCAAGTGAAGTCAACACCCAATTCTTGTCGATGATCGTGCCACTACAGTTGTGGATTTGTGGCCATCTAATTATACAGCATATTACGAATAAACAACAATTCATACGGTTCTCCCTCCTTCTTCTCCATAATTGCCACCATATAGGGGTAGTCCTTGATGTCGTTGACGAGCTGCTCGGCCGGAATTTCGGCATTTACGCCGTAGTTTGACACCAGCACTGCCAAAAAGATTGGAGCCAGCATGTTGACTATACGACTTTTGGGCCGCTGCCGCTTTTATACATACAAGGTTTTATATTGAAAATTTATACAGTTTGGAGTCTTATTGCTTTGCGAAATAGACTGTCTATCCGTCGCGTTTCAGCGCTGTGAAATGTGAAGAATTTAGATAATAAAATATGGGGGTATTTAAAGATAGGGAGAGGGAGAAAAAGAGATGAGAGAGAGGGCGAGAGAGGGTGTGAGAGACAATGAAAGAGAGCGAAAGCGATTTAAATGATTTTTATAGTTTTTAGAGCGTTTAATTCGAGGTTCTAGGGCTTTGGTATATCATGCGAAAACAATTTATTTTTGCGCGCCCTTCACAGGCTACTGACGTCACGGCACACAGGATGTTCGACGATCTGCTCCATCCAATCGCAGGCATCAGTGAGGTTTAGCAGTGACGCTGAATGTAACTTACAATATTTTATATCCTTCTTCTGCATTATCGGAGGTGGAGGGTAATTATCAGATCGAAACTTGTCAAAATTTTACGCTGAAGTATGACTTGACTGTGTTGGCGATAGAAAAGATTTTGCCCAGTGTGAAAAAGTGAGTGCTCCCGCCCCTACCCCCCCGATAATGCGCAAGTCCCTTTATACGGCAAAACGCAGCTTGTAGTATCAATAATAATCATCACCTCCCTTGGCGACGTCACACTGTACCCTGCTGCCGATCATCCCAATCTGGACCCATACAATCTGGTTGCGCCCATCGAGCAATGGAAACATTAGAGGGCCGCCGCCCTAGAAGGTACGAACATAAATCTTGCAGCAGGCCAGGAAAATAAAAAGGAAAGGAAAAGCCATACGCACCGGACAAGTACGGCCGGAGAAGTTTGCGGGCACGCCGCAAGGTTGATAATAAATGTGCCCATAAGCTGCTAAATTTCGGAATTCTGAATTATTTTCCTGGCCTAGAAATTCCTAGCAATTTTTTAGTGGCAATTGAGTATTGCATAGAATTTTTTGCTGATTTCGAACATGATTTCAAAATCTGCGAAACCGACCGACCGATTAACTAAATGAAAAATTGCAAATAACTTCAACTTTTTTTCTAGACAATAAGCTTTTTAAATTCGGAAAAATACAAACATGGGTAATAAAAAATTTACCCTTGTCGCAGGAATCGAGAGCTGCCTGCTGGGTGAACTCTGTCATGTAGAGTAGCTCGTTTCCACCTAGGGAATTTCATAAATTGACGAGAACACGTGGAAATCGTTGAAAAAGATGTTTCACAGGGCTCAAACTAGTCCTAAAAAATGGCTTATAAAAATCAGCACCAGCGGACAGATTTCGGCCTTAAATTTACTAACCACCTTGGCTACGTCCGAGCAACTTCATCCGGGTAGAAGGGTTCTTCAGCTTTTCCGAGTTTTTCGGCACAACCACTGGCCGGGCACTATACCCAAAATCGATCGGTTCTTTCAGCTGCATTTTTTTGGTAAGCTGATGGCAAAAAGGCAGGATTTACCCGTAGCAAGGCGAACGCCACAACATGGGTGCGCTTCTTGACGACTGCTCGGACTTGCTACTTAATCAATAGCGAGAACCTTTTGGAGCACGGACCTTAAGTTCAGAAGTGGTGCGAATTTCGGAGGTTCCGGCAGTGACCACCAAAGTGCTGATGTCGACGCTAAAACGTGTTTTTTTTTGGAGGATGCATTTGCAAATTCATTTAAGAATGAGGCGTGAAAGCGTCATGATGGGAATAGTTGTCTGTGCCAGAAGCGGAAGCTATCTAAACCTGACAATCTCCTACCTATCTGGCACACAAGTCACCGGCACCACCACCCAATCCTTGTCGACGATCGACCCATCGCACTTATAGTCTTGCTGCCATCTGAATGTTTTCATCAGCGAGGTGTTCCAAACACATCCCCCACCGGTTCTCGCGGTTTACAATTCGGAGGAGGGCCCGATTTTTACGATTCATATACCAATCGAACGGCGATGATAGATTCACAATTCCCTGGTTCACAATCTTTATATTTTTCTTAGATTTCCTAACGTTTTTTGAGCAGCGGCCGAACTCGCGATGCTTTTCCGATGGAAGGGCTTGAGAAAAACCCATAATTTTCGGATTGTTACGTTTTTTTTTTGGCACCCCAAAGACGTTCACGGCTATTTTTATTTGATTGAAAGCTAAAATGTCGCAATCTCATTTTCACGAGATTTTTCGTTGATGCACTTCCATATAATGATCACTAAACCTTTTCTGAAAATCAATTGAATTGAAAGCTGAGAACACAGCTTATATGTTCTCAGCTTTCAAGCTGCCAGTAGAACAGGCCAATCGCCCGAAAAGAAAGCAAAGCCAAAGCAAAGCCTAAGCCAATAAAACAGAATTTTTAAATGCATTAAAATGGCATGCAAACTTCCCAAAATCGAAAGCAATCGGGAATTCGAAAAAAATTTGAGGGAAATTGGGTTATCAAAAGTTTTCGTTCGAGCAATATACAGGGTGTCCCAAAAAAAAAGACCCCCCCAAAAATTTGAGCCAGAGAGCACCTACGGAGCTGAAAATTTGCACAGAGGTAGCGAAGCCAATTTTCTATGAACAAGGAAAGTTTCAGCCCGATCGGCCAGCGCGTCTTAAAGTTATAGCGAAAATACTTTTCATTTTTAATTTAATATGGGGATCTTCGAAATTTGCATCAAAGATATGCGTTATTCTTGTATTTACGAGCCGATTTTGCATAAATTTCGCCGAAAAGTGCCATTTTCTTGATGGAGCTTTTGGAAAACGATTGTGTATGCAGAATAAAAAGAGTGTTAAAACAACTCTTTTATCGATCCAAATCACGTGTTATTGTACATTTTGGCAATTTGAGCTTCGTCGGCCCGAAAACAGAGTTCGACGAGCTCGAAAACAGTGTTGAAGTTTAGATTTGGGCTTATGTTGGCGCGTACGCTGAAGCTTAAGCCAAGCTCAAGCGTCCAACGATAGCTTCCGCCACGAGGTCTCAATTCATCGTTCTTGCTGATCATTTTCTCGCTACATGAGCAATCGTTTTCCAAAAGCTCCATCAAGAAAATGGCACTTTTCGGCGAAATTTATGCAAAATCGGCTCGTAAATACAAGAATAACGCATATCTTTGATGCAAATTTCGAAGATCCCCATATTAAATTAAAAATGAAAAGTATTTTCGCTATAACTTTAAGACGCGCTGGCCGATCGGGCTGAAACTTTTCCTTGTTCATAGAAAATTGGCTTCGCTACCTCTGTGCAAATTTTCAGCGCAGTAGGTGCCCTCTGGCTCAAATTTTTGGGGGGGTCTTTTTTTTTGGGACACCCTGTACATAAATTGCAATAATTGGCCACTCCGGCGGACCGCTAGAGTAGAGATGCGGTAAAAATTCGAAACATACGGCTGGCTCTCATTCTTCTGGGTGATTGCCACAATGAAGGGATAGGCGGTCGCCTCTTTGATCACCACCTCGGGTGAGCCGGTGAGCTCGACACCGTTGTGTGCATTTGCCGCCAGGATTGGCAGCAGGAGCAGCGGAATTGAAAAGAGCATCGCGAAAATACAGTTGGGCGCGAGACAGGCAGGGCTTTTATAAAATCGTATAGCAAATTTATGCAATAAGCCCCGTATTGCTTTTGGTATTTTCGGTACACGTCTGCTTTTTGGCGGGGCTTTATTTGTATTCAAAAATTTATTAACCTTAAATCGTCTGGGTTATGCCACTTTTCGAAAATACGGTAATTCAAATCGAAACGAATTTCTTTTTCTTTTAAACGCGTCATTGCGAATCCAAAAAATACGAATATGACTAGCAGGACATTTTCCAAATCCATCAAGACAAAAATAGAAATATGAGCTTTGCAAACTTTTGTTCTGCTGGATCGTCATAAAAATTCTACGCCAACCGTTTTTAGCTTGATATTGAAAAAAATAGAGCTTGAAACACGACTGGTTTCTTAGCAAACTGTAGAACCTACAGTAAAGCATGTTAATATTGTAAAAACCTATTTTTAGTCCCCGGCGTATTAGAAATATCTATGTTCCTATATATAAAAGTATTCCTCGAACCACAACAATTTATTCTCATCGTAACTCCGCCAAATCTTTGCACAAATCCGGGATCCCCGTCTGCTTCTGCACCCAGCCGCAAAACCGGGCCGCGTTCATGTAGGCGGCTGAAAAAAACACGAAAAAATCCTAAAATGGCTGGTACAAGGGAGAATTGGGGGCTAGCGTCTACGAAACAGTACTATAGTGTCGAAACGAAAAAAACAGCACCAGATTTTCCGTTTTGTACACACGTCGATGAGCCCCGGCTGACGATGCCGATTTGTGGCCAGTGCTTTTTGCCGCCAACCTTGACGGTCAAGACGAGGGGACCGCCAGAATCAGCCTTGAAATACGGTAAATTTACAAGGTCAACATCCAAAATATCGGCAGTAAAAACCTGCATATTCAGGATACCGACAGTGAAATTTGTGAAATTTGGAATCGCAACATTAATAATCCCGAAATTCGGGATGCGGGCAGCGTAAATACCGATACAGAAAATCCCGACACGCAGAAGCTCCGAGTTAGCGTGACTTGGTGACCATAAATCAGTCTTTTTGGTGTCAGCATTTCCCATGTCGGCATTTTGGCTCTCGGTATTCTCGGTGTCCGGATCTTGAACACGGCTCGATGGAAGCTTGTCCAAATTTTGAAAAATTTGCGAATACAGTTGGTCAAAACACAAGATGTAAGACACTCACGTTACAGTACCCTACAATAAAGCACGTAATTGCATACCGGACACGGCCCATTCTCCGCCCGGCCTCCACAAAGAATATTTTGCGCAAAAGCCCTGCCGTAAATCGAGTGGCAGCTGGCCTCAGAGTATAGGTCGATGGTCGTGTAGCGGAGGTCTGGTGATTTTTTCGGGTCTGGAATTATAAGAATCAGTGGGTGGTAGAAGAGCTTCTAGCTCTCACGGTGTTTTTGAAAAGAAAAAATTTTCTTTAGCAGTTTGTGGTGCCGGTCGCACTTTGTGTGCGTTTGGATTTTACAATTTCACATCTGATTCGGACATGCATCTCAATCTAAACATAATTAATCCGATTTAATTTTCAATGAAATCTTTTCTGAATTTCGGAAAATTTACGGCCTCAAAAAATTGCTTTGACAGAGACCGTTTTGCCGATTTTTGGCGCGCCCTTAACAAAATGTAAACTTTACGAAACTTTTAGTTTGTGGCTGATTATCGGTTGAATGTTTTTTTTAAAAATTTGAATGTGTTCAGAATTTTAGGCTCTATCGGATGCGCTATAAAAAGTTATCTCGAAGGCTCCAGAAGCACCTAAACTTATTTTACCTCGCCCAGTCCTGCCCCATCCAAACACCTTTGCTTCCATCCCGCCCTTGGTAAGCTTCGGATCCGGTTTCAGCAATAGCGTCGGCCACGCAACTTTTTTCGTTAGTTTCACGGGGGTTTTTAACTGGAAAGTTTAAGAAATCGACGACTACAAGCCACGACCAACCTTCAACAACGCCACATCAACTTGCTCGTAGTTTATTTGCTGCTTGGACTTCCGGTTCTGATAGGAAACGTACTTGCCGTGGATCACGAATTGGGCTACTTGAACTATTTGCTAAAAATCGGGGGCTATGATTAGAATAAGATTTTTTCTACCCGCTGCGGCGTCTGGCGACGTATATTTGCGGCTCCGGCTATAATTACCATGTTGGTGGGGGAACTGGAAAGTGGATGTTAGGGCTGATCTTTTGAACGGACTACAAAGAAAGAGATTTGTTACGGAAATGCCTCTCCCAAAAAAACGACCCATCTGGCATTTCGCCGTGTTACATCCAGCCGGCCCCAAAATTGGACCAGAGGTGTATCAGACCCTAAATAACAACAATCCTGACTTATCGTGGTTCTCGAGTTATAGCCAAAATACCGTTTTTCACGCAATTGCAAACAGTTTTTCGCTTATTTTTGAAATTTGCATCGATTTGCATCGACTTCCGGCTGCGAATCCCTAATTTCGCTGAAGACCTTGGGTAATTTTGCGTTGTAAAAATAGCTTAAATCAAAGCTTACCAGGGTTGAAAAGCCGCTTCGCGACTTTTCAACCCTGGCCCCCGTCCAACCCTATGAATCCCTCGCTTTGCATAATCCTTCCGCGCTTTATGTCAAAAAAAATCAAATTCGCGTCCTCTCCCCGATTATATAGGCTACTTCCACTTCCGGCGTATGCTAATTTTTTCCTAACAAAGAGGGTGTCCGATTTTTAAGGAAAAACTTAATTTTAATGTCGAAAACAATTGATTTTGCAAAATCTGATATGCGTGCAGTCATCTACAGGCCATTACGCGTCTAATGACGTATCATACGCCCCCTTCATCCCTTTCCCTATTGAGATATCCTCCGGACACGCTGACGGAAGTTGCATGCAAAGTGGCACACACACACACACAGACACTATTTTTTTATATATAGTAGGATTTGATTAATTTTAGTCCGGAAAGAATTTCTTAAGGTAAAGAAGGCCTACCGAATCATTTTCACTTAGTGTTTAGGGGATTTAATTCCCCGAAAACCCCATGAAAAATCAAAAATAAAGGTTGTTTTTGCGATAACTCGAGAATTAGTACAACTACGAAGCTATAAGTCAGGATTGTTGTTATTTAGGGTTTGATACACCTCTCGTCGAATTTCGGGACCGATTGGATGTAACACGTCCAAATGCCAGATGGGTGATTTTTTGGGACACCCTGTATATGAAAAACTACTGTTGATCGGTGCAATGGGCGGCAGTCAAAATCCAGTATTCATCCAGAATCGAACCCCCGCAAATATGTCGCAGGCCGTCGCTAAAAATTGTTCAGCCAAGACGTTAGCCTCAAAAAATGTTTTCTTACGGTGCCCTGGCATCTTGCACCATGATCGCCACAACAAATGGGTACTTCTTCGTATCAGTAGCAATTTTCCCATTGGAAATCTTTAGCCGTCTACGGGGTCCTTGCTGACTTAACTTGATGAAAAGCCCAAGCAGCAGCAGCAGGTACAAACTCCAATCCATAGTGGCGAAGAATTTGCGAATTCAATCGCAGGCTGCGGCGCATCCCCGCAAAATCAATGGCGCTTTTTATTGCTTTTTGAAGTAGGCTTGGCTTCTCAACTTTTATGATCCTAAAAAAATTCAAAACGTATTGAAAAATTAATGGCTTTGAATTTTTGTACGCTTCAGGTAATCCACATCCCTTTTGCATGCCATCCCCCTTTTCTGACTACATACCTATTTCCCGTAACCACTACTAAAGCACAGAACTGCTAACATTGATATGGCCTCTCTCTCTATCTCTCTCTGTCTTTCTCCCTGTCTCTATCTGTTTCTCTCGCTCCCTCTCTCTCCTCCTCTCTCTCTCTCTCTTTCTCTGCCTCTGTTTCGCTCTATCCTCCGAAACTCGTACTGTAAGATTTCTCGGATAATTTCCGGTTCCGCTTCGAAAGAAAAACGCGGAACATGCAAATTAGCTAAAAATCCCAACTTTCAGGAGAAACCTCTGTTTTCCTTCCAACGTAAAATCGAGATCAAGTATAACAAAATTGATATATTCCAGGTCACACAGGTCTAGCGTCCATATCTTCTCAAGCTGTCAAAGTCTCGGCAGAGGGCCCTGATATTGGTCATTCTCTGCACCCAAGGACAATAGTGCGCTGCGTTCATGTAGTATGCTGGAATGGAAAATGATTCCGGGGTCTGAGTGCCGGGCTCTTTTGCATTATCGGCGGGGGGGGGGGCACGACCGGGATGCCGTGAAGCCGAATTTATGTCGCTAAATGCAATATTGAAAAACCATTTTCCTATCGAAAAACTCACAACATAGAAAAAATTAGCAGCACATCAAAGCTGTCTAGGAAGAATTCTCGTGTTTATATTGCAAAAATAAATCCTTAGCAAAAAATCCAGCCAAGCCCCGCCCACCCCCCAGTAGTGCACAAGAACCGAGTTCAGGCATCCCTTTCAGGTTCAAACATACCCAGTTTCCTGCTATAATTACAATTTTTCGGCCCGCGACTGACGATGCCGACTTGAACGTAATACTCCGTGCCGAAGGCATTCACCGGAAGTATCAGCGGCCCGCCAGAGTCGCCCTGAATTCCGCTACTGTACGGTAGAACTCTCGAACTCACTAGGCAAGGCCCTGTGTACCGGCTCCAGCCGCAAATGATGTTTCTGGCGTACGAGCGGGGTAGGGCGGCATGGCAGCCGCCAGGCGTCCATAAGTTCACCACGGTGCTGTAGAGATTCCATGCCGTTACATTCCCTAACCATCAGGTTGTCGTGGAAGTCTCAAGGGCTTTCTAAGATGCTAAATTTTCGAAATTTCATAATTTCGAAATGGCATAATGTCGAAATTGAGAATGTCGATTTTTTTTTGCCTAGGATTCGGTGGTTTTACAAGGAATACTAGTTTATGTAAATTGCGTCATTCTGAATTTCGGCATTATTAATTTCGACATTACAATTTTCGACATTTTGAAAATAACCCGATTTGCACGACGCTTAAACCAATTAATCTAATTTTTTAGAGAAAAACCTGTAACGACGGCATGAAAAATGCGCGTAGAATGTTCTAGAACTTAAAAAATCGGAGACGAAGTACTTCTCAGCTTCTCTGGGAGCTTTTGATAGAAGCCTAACTTGCAAAATCGAAAACGTTAGGGGGATATTTTTGGAAAACAGTAGTATTACGTAATAGTCCCCATCCGGCGACGATTCCCCGAAGATTCTCCTGTTCCATATAGCCGTTTAGGGCATCCGGCATGACCAGTAACGTCGGTGTCGTCTGTTTGGCCCTCATTTGGATCGGGGTTGCTAGCTAAAATGTGGAGCTTGTTCTTTAGCGGGGGGAGCAGGGAAGGGGCTTATCGCGGCTTTAAATCCCAAAAGATTTCTTGGAAACAGAAGAGAGGGATTTGCGGGGCCTTTCCTTCTAGAAACTCTTGCATTGCGGCGAGAGCAGCTGGTAATCATTTTGCGCTAACTGTAAAGTGTTTTCACTCAACTTGGAGTTTCGATTCGGGACCAAGTGCATCTTGTACAGAAATTTTCGCTGATTCCGAATATGTTTTCCAAATTTGCTACGGACCGTTATTCTGAAAGTTATACGGCAATTATGACCCTAGTTTTCACCAAAATGAAGGTATCGTTATAGTTTTGGATTTTCTTCATTAATTTCAACGTCAAAATTGACTAGACGTTGGCTCGACAAGCATCCTACAGCTCAAAACAAGCATTTTAGATAAAAAAATTAGATTTTTTATGCAAAAAGCAAAAGGGATGCTGCAGGGCGGGGGTTCGAACCGCCGCCCTGCGCTTGGCAAGCGAGTACTTTGCCAATGCACCATGGTGCCAACTGGGTAGGGTGCTGTCAGAGGGTACTTCAGGGCCACTGGGAACCATAGCCCCAAACAAGGAATAGTGGGCCAGCGTCTGAATTTTTGGCATTTTTCGGCCTAATTGTTACCAAAAATGCTTTTTTAAATAAAAGTCCGTAGCAAATTTGGAAAACATATTCGGAATCAGCGAAAAATTCTGCACTAGATGCGCTTGGTCCCGAATCGAAACTCCAACTTGAGTAAAAACACTTTACAGTAAGCCCGGAAACTTGCCTTCAACAAAGCCACATCAGCAACATTGTAATCGCCCTCCCAAATCGCGCGTGAGGTTGTAGCGTAGTGTGCGATAGTCTGGGTGAGGGAGGAAATATTCCACGTCGATGATTTGCTCAAAGATTTTATAGTGTTGTGTCAGAATCCCGGCCATAATACCGGCAGCCAAAATGCCGACAGCCCTAACCTAGAAAACGCAAAATCCCGACAGCTAAAACCTGGAAACCCAAAAATCCCGACAGCCAAAACCCCGAAAACCGGAAATCTTGACAGCCAAGACCTAGAACACCGAAAATCCCGACAGCCAAAACCTGGACATCGGAAAATGCCGACAGATAGGCCAAAAGGCATCCGGGGTGTCAAAACCCAGACATCCAAAAATGCCGACAGCGCAAATGCAAAGGACCGGAAATTCGGACAGCTCAAATCGATACAGGCCAAAATCTACAGCCGGAGTCCCTAGCTATTCTTAAAGCGCACGTTCAGGCTGGGATTTTGACCGGAAAAGTTTTGGCTCCCGAGAGTTTGACTATCGGCAATTCGCTGTAGAAATTTTTGCTGTCGGGATTTTGGCCCTATCCGCTTTCTGATACCCTTTTCGATGAATGGTCATAAATTCTGCTGACGCCGGCGATCACCGCCAGCTCGACCGCGCCCCTAAAGGAGGTTCGAATTAACACCATGGATCGTCGCCATAAAAAGAAAGTGAAAGTGTATTTTGATTCGTCCTAAATATCGCCATCATCCCGCTATCTAACACTCACCGATCCTCCACGCAATGCGCGGCCGTCAACACCCAATAAGGACTTACGATCGTCCCGCCGCAAACTTGTGCGTGCCCCCTAATTTCTTCATTTAACAAAACTATCCATTCCCTCGAACCTCAGAACCACGTCCTTCAGCATAATGGCAACGGCAAAGGTGAAATTTCCAATCTCTGGTTCGCTCCTACCGTTCCCAATCTTCTGATTCCGCTTGAGGGCTTCAAGCCGATCGGCGCTGGACATCAAGGCAAGCAATAAAAATAATAAATAGCAGTTCTTCATGGTCAGAGTATTGAAAATAAGAAAGGCGAAAAATCTTAAAGGCCGTCAGAAAAGTTTGGCATCTTTTTAACATGCATTACATGCTACTTTTGATTGATTTTTGGGCGTATAAAAATAAATCTTTTGGCGAGCCGGCTCTCTCTCTCTCTTTCCCTCTCTCTCTCTCTCTCTCTCTCTCTCTCTCTCTCTCTCTCGCTCTCTCTCTCGCTCTCTCTCTCGCTCTCTCTCTCTCTCTCTTTCTCTTTCTCTCTCCAGTTGGGAATTCTGGGGTCCCATGGCCATGGCCTAGCTCCGGGTCCAATCCGCAAAACAAGTGCTCCGAGCGGGGGTCGAACCCGCATCCTACGGCTTTCGAGTCCGATGCTCTCCCTATTGAGCTACCGAAGTACGCGGAATGCCTCTCTCGGGGCAGCTATCCATGCCGGCCCCTCACATCCAACCATCCACCCCCCAGGGATGACTGGTCCCACAGTCATCAGACACTGTGTACCATCTGTCAGAGCCCGGGTGGATCCTGCGGATGACACCAGTTGGGAATTCTGGGGTCCCATGGCCATGGCCTAGCTCCGGGTCCAATCCGCAAAACGAGTGCTCCGAGCGGGGGTCGAACCCGCATCCTACGGCTTTCGAGTCCGATGCTCTCCCTATTGAGCTACCGAAGCACGCGGAATGCCTCTCTCGGGGCAGCTATCCATGCCGGCCCCTCACATCCAACCTCTCTCTCTCTTTCCCTCTCTCTCTCTCTCTCTCTCTCTCTCTCTCTCTCTCTCTCTCTCTCTCTCTCTCTTTCTCTTTCTCTCTCCCTCTCTCGCTTTTTCTTTCTATGTCTCTCTCTCAAACACACTCTTTCTATCTCTCTCTTTATCTCTGTCTGTCTCTATAGCCCTCTCTTTCTCTCTCACCCTCACACTATCTCTCTCTTTATCTCTGTCTTTCCCTCTCGCCCTCTCTCGCCGTGTAAGGCATGGATGGAAATTGCAACCATCACATTGATTGTACAACAATTATCATATCACAAGCTCAGCAATCGAGAACAGTTGCCAAGAATTAATCCGACAATCACCCGACAAAATTCTAGAAGGGGAGATTCTGACCGTGGGGCTGCTGTCTATCACGACAATGCGGTAGAGCAAAAATCTTGCAATATACAAAACTTAAAGTATGAAAGTTTTACGAAAAATTACGTTCGATTGATTTGGATTGGCTTGCATAGCTAGTAAATCAAAAAAATAATAAAACACAAATATGTATGGTCGGCTGGTAAGTCATCATGCCAGAAAGGACAACACAGTATCAGTTTTCGGGGAAAAGGGCGACGGTCTTTCATGTTTGGCATCTGGCACCTGAGGCAGACATTTACAATTCTACTTCCTAGCCTGATTTTTAAAAAAAAAATAAGTGTTTTACTGATCCAGAAAAAAAATTGGCTTTTATGAAATATTGGCATGTTTAGATTAACTGGATACCCAATCACAAACAAATCTACAGGGTACGGAAAAAGTTTTGAGTGGCATCTTTTTATTTCGAAAAATTGCTGTTCTAAGCGACACCGCGTTAATTTTGTGGTGTCAACATAGATTCGGACGTGCTCTATCCCATCCTGACAACCATAATGGTTTAAAAATTATTTCCCGCATAAAAATCGTCTTAGAAACATGAAGGCTCCAGAAAAGGTACACATTTGGCTGCTATGAAATATTGGTTATAATGCTTTGGATCTTATCACCAGGCTTTCCAGGGTTTCGGATTATGAAAGACAGGGAATAAGCAGTATCCTGCGTAAATCTTACATTTTTTTGTCATCTTGGCTAAATCCTAGGCGCAATTGAGTTGAAAATCAGCAGCGTGCCGCGGTTTCCGGCTATTTAACTTTTCGTGAAGCTCAACCTGGAGTTGTCTTAATGTCTATTCCCCAAATTTGGACGTCAAAAATCCTGATTTACAATATTCATATGCCTAACCTATCATTATGCGGCGCTTCGCGGTTGATGGGCTGTAGGCTCCCCAGCTTCGCAGCGGTTTCCCAAGCCGATAGGGGAATTTCTCAGACTTAAAAACGTCAGAACTCTTTGAATTTAAATCCAAATACTTTGTAATTTTGTGGGGTGATAGGGTATAGGATTGGCAATATCTTGACCAAATTTCGTCGAATTTGATCGAGAATGTTGCACAGGGGATACGGTAAAAGCAGCAATAGCGCTGCGTGCCGAAGGTCATTTTAGCGCGACGCTTTCAGTGCATTTGCTCCCAAAAATTTCAAAAAGTTTGTTGATCTGTTGGTGCCTAGTGTTTCTCAAGTCGCCATTTTTTAATCTCCCGTTCAAAAAATCCATGTTGGACGACGCAATTTGTGAAAACATAGCTAATTCTGCCACCCAAAACTTTCTCCGCACCCTGTATCGCCCGGAGCGCAGTTAAATTGGAGGGAGGAGAAGGCAATGGTTGTTAATGTGTGGAGCACTTTGGGCAGCCATCCAAAATTCACCTTTCAACAGTTTTTACAAAGTTAAAGGTGTCAAAGAAAATTAACACAGCTTTCAAAAAGTTCAGAAAAAACGCATGCATGTCGGAAGCGCACTCCTTGTCTTGGTTTGCTCCGATTGCCGTTTGATTTTGCAACCATCTTTCCCCTAAAATTAGCATCATATCTATAAATTTGGGATTGTGGTTACCTTAACGCGCGCGAGCTGTTCTCTTGCCACGTACAATAGCGCTTGTTGACTACGAGTGCCATCTAGAACAGATTAAATTAGCATAATTTTTAGGTTTTAGCCGTGTTCCTACTAGTTTAACAAAGTTAAATTTAGCATTCGAACCAGAAAAATTACGCAGGACGGGAATTAATTTTTAATAACGTGGAAAACCGACCTTTCTGAAATTTGTTTAATTCATCATAAAGTTGAAGCACGTCTCGGCTTTTTTATGCAGTCGAGCTCAATTTAGCCAACCAAGTTTGAGGAGGCAAAGTTCCTTAAATAGATATCTTTATGGTTGAAAACTTGTATTCTTAAGCAAAAAAAAAAACAGTCGAGAAAAGTCTTGGAAAAAACTGCGCGAAAAATTGTGTTGCGAATTTTAACGTTTTGATTAGCTTTTTGGGTTGGCAAGTGGGGATCCAATAGCAAGAGAAAGAGAGAGAGACAGAGAGAGAGAGACAGAGAGAGAGAGAGAGAGAGAGAGAGAGAGAGAGAAAGAGAGCGAGAGTGGGAGAGAGATGTACGCTCGTGTCAGCTGGCGTCCACCCGGTCCCCAATATTAAAAATAAAATTTAAAATTTAAAATTTACCCGCAAAATTTTTGGATGCGAAATTATAGCAACGGACAATTATAACTTTTATGGATTATAGAAATAAATTTATCGATTTTTATAAACAGTACAAATTCAGCTCGTCATAAGGCCTTGATATTCTGGCACAACGTCTTGATCTTTGTAGTGCGCTCGATCCATGAGCAATAGTAACCGACATTCATGTAGATTCCTGGAAAATAGACGGGTCTTTGATCTGTTTCTTCGCAATCACCCAAAAAAACCCCTAAAAACCGAAAAATTTAAGGTATACCCGGTCTGCCATCATAGTTACACATCGGCGGCGCTTTGCTGACGACGCCGATTTGGATGCGGTACTTGGCGCCGGTGCGTTTGGATTCAACTTTCATGACGAGGGGACCACCCGAGTCACCCTGAATTTTATTGGTGAAAACATGGTAAATATTTGTAGAGGTCATAGGCCAATTAAAATAATAAGCTTAAATAATATAAAACCATAATAAAAATATTAATTGGTTTTAGTATTAATGAATAATTTTATAGTTATAAACATTACCGGACATGGCCCGGTGTCGAATCTCTCGGCGCAGATCACATGTCGCAAATCCATGCCTGCGCGATTCCCAGACCTGCAACCAGCCGCCGTCCAGACGTCGAGAATTGTGTAGAGGAGGTTGGGTGACGTTATCGGGTCTGAAGCGTGTTAACGGAAATCAAAAATTTCATTTTGGGCCGGAAGCGACAAAATTACCGATTTGGAAAGAAAATGCCTAACACCTCGATTTTTTTTGAGAATTTAGTATTTCCTATTATCGGTTTTTTATGATAAATGACGTTCTAATAAACGCCCGAAAAGTGCTTGCAAAATATGAATTGAATTGAATTAAATACGGTAACTGACTATCCACTTCCTCTCCAATGTCACCCCATCCCATCACCACGGCCTTGTGCCCGGACTCCTTCAAAATACCCTCCGTCTTCACCAGGATCGTCTTTGTGGCCACGTGCTTTTTCAACTTTATGGGAGTTCGCAGCTGAATTCACCGAAATTCCAGTTGTAATCGATGCCGACCTCAAGCAACGCGATGTCGTGCGGAAACGAGTTTATCGGCCGCTTCGTGGTAGTGTTGGCGGTATGATGCCGATATTTTTCGTGGATATGACGTTGTTTGACCCCGATTAGTTGCTGAATGAGCGAGAAAAATTAACTTTAGGAAGTGAACTTACACGTTGTGGCTGATTTTGGCCCCGAATATTGGCGACGCCGGCGATCACGATAAGACGCTCTTCGCCACTGAATCGCTATGGTTTTTCGGGGGCAAGAGATAAAAAGAGAAAGAAAGAAAGAGAGAGAGAGAGAGAGAGAGAGAGAAAGAGAGAGAGAATACGTTTGAAATACTTACCGTGTCGCTACGCAATGTGCGGCTGTCAACACCCAACCCGGACTCACGATGGACCCACCGCAAAGTTGCTCCATCTCCTGGCTAACGCAGGACGGTCGATAATAATGAATACCTACGGATGCTGGCTGTTGTTCAGCATAATGGCGACGGCAAACGAGAAATTGGTCATATTTGGGGCTCCTTTACCATTGATAATTTTTTGGTTGCGTTCCAGGGCATCGAGCCTTTTCCAAGGGCTAAGAAAGCAAATAAATACGAATAAGAAATTTTTATATTCCATCGATTTGGAAAATGAAAGGAGAGAAAATGTTGGAACAAATGCTGACGTGCTATACTTTGGCATAATAATTCGGTTTGAGCTTTTATTGCCTTTCAGATGATGCTCTTGAAGGTATGTAACATGTTTGAATGTATGAATTAGCAGCAGAAATCGATACGTATTTATATATAGGTTCAACAAAGAGACTTCATGTCCCGGCATGACGCCATCATAAAGAAAAATCATGGTTATTAAGACGGTTGCAAGGTCACTTTTTAAAAGGGCTAGTTCAACTTTTAGAACTGTCCACCCCAAGCCATTGCTTGGGGTGGACAGTGCAGTCCGAGCGGCGAAGTTTGGGAGTGATGGGGCTGATCGTCTCGGTGCTAAAAAACCGCGTTTTACTTTTTAATATAGGTGAATATTTCTAACAAATACTAATGATATCGAAAAATAATAATTTTATTTAAACATACTTGTCGTTTTGACTTTCTTCAGTCGTCTCGCCCATTTGATAGTCGGGGTTCGGGTAATAGATGTTCGAGCTTCCCCTCCACAAAATGAATGGATATTGTCCGACAAGGGTCCATTCGCTTGAGGCTGGATATCTAGAAATTAAATTTTTAAATTTTGTTGCCTTTAAAAATATATGGAATTATTGGAAGTTCATAAAAACTTACGCGTGCTCGAAAACAGGTACATACGTCAGGCGCCATCCCGTTACTGTCATGTGCACATTAAAGGCACCCAGGGCCAGGACTTCCAAGTATGTTACATACCTGCAAAATTATATAAATGTACTTTTATCGCAAAAATGTACCTTCCTTGCGACGCCATTTCCCTCCTCGGAAAAAGCTTTTAATAAAAGTTTAATTTAATAAATTTCCAAATAATTTGGGAGTCGAGATGGAGGGTATCTAGAATTTAATAACAGTTATTTAATAGTCTTTAAATTTATTGTTTAAACATTTTCGAATTTATAAAAAACTTGCACATTTTGGAAGTGTGTGACGTGCATCATTCGCCAGTGTCCCATCTTATCAAGCCTTCGGACATTAAATGCTGCCGGCGCACATACATTCTACAAAGCCTAAAAAAAGTTATATAAAGTTATACCATCCGAAAAATTTACCCCCCAATCTCAATTATGGACCAGCTCAGCTCCGGCAGGAAATTGTAGACCCTGTCTACCCATATGTTGATGACGTAATCGGTTATCAGGGGACTAATAAGCGATATACATTTTTAATTAAAAAACTTACTTGATTTCCCTGAATCTTCTGACACATTCATCGTGTGGCGACGTATCCATTCAGGGTTCAAAGTCAGCCGGTTGTCGTTGATATTTCACCTCAAAACCGGGCGGGGAAGGTCTGTGCGGTACCATGACCATTTTGTCTTTCGCATAAATTATAGCTTACCTTATATGCATAGGGATTGGTGGGTATAATATGTGGTCGTGATGTTCGAACCACCGGTCGATTTGAGAGATGTTGAGCCACGCAGGTGTGGTTGGTGTGAATTACTGTCATTTTTCCTAAACATCATTTTTCCTCAACTTTCCTAGATAACTTTTCCTAGTTATTCTATACCAAAGACTAGCGTGCTTTTCTGCGCTAAAACGGCGAGTTCTCACCCCTTTTTAACTATTTCGAACTGTAAGAAAATATAGAAGCAACAGAAATCCTTTAAAACTTACTAATTATTTTCCGGAATCATTTTTCAGCTAAAAAGTTCGGCTTTCTGATGAAGCCGAGTTCGGTATAAAACCAGGAACGAGAGACCGGGGGACCCTAAAAATCGTTCATTGGGTGTGAAGGTTGGAATGAAAAAGAGAAAAATCAGAACAGCAAGAATGTCGGCTTAAAAAAATATATGTTTTTATAATCACACCCAGGCGTTAGCTTGCTGAAATGTGAATAACACAAGACAAAAACACCAAAAATGTAATCCCATTGAGTTTTGGGGCGTCGCTTGAGGGCAAAAACTTCGAACCGGAAAATGAGCGGAAGCTGGGGCGGGGGGAGGAACAGCCGGTGCGCAGCGTTTCGGAGGGCCTGCCAAATTTTTGGCCCGCAGAGGCCCGAAATTTATTACCTAGTTTTGAATTTTCAGGGGTCAAAATCGACAACTGTTGTCGCAGCTACGAGCGCCACATATTGAATCTAAAGTTCATTTGGATGCAAACGAAGGGACCAAAATTACGGTAGAATTACATGGTGAAGTGGTTGAGGTTGTAGGGTAAGATTTCGACTCAGCGATTTCCAGGTGTCTTAAAAATTGACTGTTAAAGGAACAAGGACAAGCCGGTAGTTCAGGGCTGATCTATACTTGGCAGCGAACCAATCGAAAAATGGGTAGGGGGTAGAGATGTTACCCATACCGACGTGACGTCGGGATAACATGCAAATTAGGATGCAAAGCGCAAAAAATCGTTTTATTGATCTGATGTTGTACTTTGAATCCTAAATTGCATAGTATCCCGACGTCGCATCGGTATGCGTAACATCTCTAGTGGGGGTGGGATGCGAAGCCGGAGAGAGCAAAGAAGATTTACAGGGTGTCCCAAAAAAAAAGACCCCCCCAAAAATTTGAGCCAGAGGGCACCTAAGGAGCTGAAAATTTGCACAGAGGTAGCGAAGCCAATTTCCCATGAATATGGAAAGTTTGGGCCATATCGGCCGACGTGTTTTAAAGTTATAGCGAAAATACTTTTCATTTTTAATTTAATATGGGGATCTTTGCAATTTGCATCAAAAATATGCGTTATTCTTGAATTTACGAGCCGATTTTGCATAAATTTTGCCAAAAAATGCCATTTTCTTGCTGGAGCTTTTGGAAAACGATTGCTCTTGCAGCGTGAAAACGATCAGCAAGACCGCTGAGAACAAGATACATTGGTTGAAACTATCGTTCAGCGCCTGAACTTCGCTTAGACGTTGGACTGACCTAAACCCAAGCCCAAATCTAAACTTAAGCACCACTTAGAAGCTCATCGAACTCTGTTTCGGGGACTAGCGCGAAGCAGATTGCCAAAATGCACAATAAGGCGTGGTTTGGATCGATAAAACAGTTGTTTTCACACTATATTTACTCTTCATACGCAATCGTTCGAGCCATGCTCCAGCAAGAGAATGGCTTTTTGGCAAAATTTATGCAAAATCGACTCGTAAATGCAAGAATAACGCATATTTTTGATGCAATTGCAAAAATCCCCATATTAAATTAAAAATGAAAAGTATTTTCGCTATAACTTTAAAACACGTCGGCCGATATGGCCCAAACTTTCCATATTCATGGGAAATTGGCTTCGCTACCTCTGTGCAAATTTTCAGCTCCGTAGGTGCCCTCTGGCTCAAATTTTTTGGGGGGGGGGGTCTTTTTTTTTGGGACACCCTGTATGCGACTCTTCGAACTAAGCACATTTTCTGCTAATTTATCGTGGCCCTTTCTGATTCTTTTAAAAACTGATGTATTAGTTTCAAAGTAATGAAGTATCGATAATTTAACGGGTATCTCTAAGTTTTTCGGGATGCTAGAGCAATATCTTTTGGGAGAAATTCAGTGGCGAAAAAACACCTATGCCCTACCGCCGCTTTGCACCTCTTCCCCTCTCATGCTCACTGCTCCCTCATTTCTTTGTGCTCTCCATTCTCGCGCAGTCGTTTTTCCTTGCGGCAGCCGCACCGGACCACATCATCAAAACTCAGCGAAAATATGTCTTTTGAAGAATTTCCCTACTTATTTCGATTGCCTTATCCATTGTAATACTCATATCTTTTATTATTTTGGAAAATCAACTCTTCATCTGGTATTTAACCACAAAAAATCACCAACGACTTTCAATGCCTGATCGATATCCGGGGGTTTTTATAAAAATGCAGTAATAAGGAAAAAAACAGCTGGGAATTTCCTGTGTTATATTTACATCGATTAAACGATCATTTACCAATTTTTTCCGTAAATTCGGCATTTATAATTCTAAATTAAAAAGTCTTTTCATTTTTAGGAACTCCGGTTCCTCCTTCTTCTGGGTGCTAAACCAAAAACGGCTTCATCGACAGCCGACGTTCAACTCATGTACTATTTAATATTCCGCGAGGTAATCAATTTATTTTCTAGTAAAATACTCTAAATACCCCCAATAGAATTGATCATGTAACCGGGGCTAAAAATGATTAAATTGTTATCAAAAATCGAAGTCAGGGGAAGGGTTACGCCGCTGCAAAATATTATTTTTTTCAGAAAGCTACGTCAAGTACTTATCATCGACTACTTTGAAGATCTATAATAGCTACCTAATCACGATGCATAACTTAGGAAAAATCTGGGTAAGTCAGATTTTTCATATGCTTAGTTATCCACTGTATTAAAAAACCCACAGTAGGTATATTATCCTTTTCAGTCAGGGTTAGAACCCATCGGCAATGTTTGATGATACTCAGCACTCCACAACAGCATGAATGCCATCACCGGAAAAGCTGCCCTCAAGATCCGCAAATAAGTCGCCTCAATTCTTAAATTTTCTAAAAAAATTTCTCTGCTTCACCTCCTTCTTTACCATTAATTTCCATTGAATCCATGTAAGTCTCATTCCAAATTGAATTTCCTGACAAAAAAAAATTATGAGTGACGCCGGGACCCGTATCCTGTGGCTGAAAGACCCTGGTTTTGTACATACGGTCGTGCTCGCCGCTCTGGCGCTCGGTGAAGACAAGGAAAACCACAATAGCGAAGCTGAACCGTTTAATAATAGAAAAGCATTTCATGATGGCTGCAATTGTTAACTTCAATTTCTCAGAAGGCATAAAAATGTCAATTAATCGTTAAAAAAAATAATATAGATGAAACACGCCAGCGAAACTGTTCTACTGAATAATGTGAAAATCTGGGATATGGACTACGTCTTGAAATCGCTCAGGATAGTATATAAAACCTCTAAGACATAGAAATAAATATAATACTTTAATGTGTTTAATGCAACTCTCACACGCACCAGAAGGAGACCAAATTAAGGTCTGCTAACGAAAGTTCCAATTCGGAATTTCGGCGACATCGGTCTTTGTGAGCTAGTCCAAGCAAACCAGTCCAAACCAAGTTTGACCTTCAAATAATGAGCTGAAAAGCCGAGACGAAAAGTATAACAAAAGAATTTCAATAGTATTAGAACCGGTTGCACCACTGGAATTATGTGTGGGAAGACAAAAACGTCAAATTTTCCCGAGATCGTCGAAGTACGACTTTGTTAGACGCCGGAAAAAAGGAAAAACTTGTTGAACAGTTCCTACACGCTACCGACCGCTATGCCCTAAAAAAATTGAAATCTTCCAAATTTCAAAAGCTGTTATTACAGGCCCTCCGAATTTTTCTAAATAAAAAATTAACTGTGACATCAGGATGTCTATGAAACTTGTTCATCTACCCAAAAGCGGAGTATTTTGAGAAATATTAACACCTCAACCGTGCATGTATGCAGGTTCAACTTCGAGTTGTTGTTGATGTTAAGATATCAAAAATAGCCCTTTAGATCTTATTGATATAGACAAAAAGAATTGGCAATTAAGTTGGACGATGAAAATACAGAGTGGCATAAAATTCAAGGCATAAAAATTAATAAACGTAAATGTAAACTTAACGGCTTCAAGGTGGTTCTGGCACAGAGCTGCTAAAAAGCGTCATTCGAGCCACAACTTAATAGCGAGCCGGCTCAACCGTTTTATTTGAAAAAAATGGCGACAACAGCTAAAACGAAGACCGAGTCAAGGCGGTGGTCAGCAAAAAGTGGAACCAGAAAATGCAGAAATGAGCAAAAGGTCAAAATCACAAACCGTCAAACGATTGAGGAAACTTCTTCGAATTTATGGGGGGTAGGTTCTTAAGCCCAAAGCGAAACAGTTAGCACAATTCCGCGACCGCCTATAATACTAACAAAAAATGGCGTCCAATGGACCGGATAAAATCGGAGCTAACTCACACGAGTGTAATTTCGACGTTCAATGCTGAAGGAAATATACTTTTTAATTCTGATCTAAATTAAGCATTTTGTAGCTTCTTAGACACAACGGTTGAACCTAATGAACATGTCAACATTGGCAGGTTGCTTACAACCAACGGCAAAAACAGGTACAATCTGTGGATCATTTGACTGGATATTTCTGCGACTAAATGTTCTATACTACAAGCCTTAAAATTTTTAGCGAAATATCGCCCCATTCAGGAAAGTTGGAGCTCAAATGTATAATAGATTTGCAAACAAAATCATCTTGCCTGGCCGTACGATCTTTTGGAACGGATTAGAGAAACCGATGCTCTGGTTCCAACTGATTTCGGGTCGGTGTTCACCGTGGTAGAACGGCATGGTGGAACGTCTCGTTGGGCTCCTGGAAAGAGCACTGTAACGTAGATTGCCATTGGGGAAGACCTCCTGACAATATCGGTTGAATCCATAAAAAATGAACGACGGCTGAGAAGCGTTGATGACAACGACAAAGCAAATACGTGTAAGAAATAGCAGTAACTGTTCGCACCGTTATTCCCGAAAAACTGCTTTTTGAAACATCAACAGGATGCCAAAATTGGAGGGGACAAATATCACAAATGTGGTTTAATGACTTAGCTACAGTAATACCTTAAAAATAATGCCTAGCTGCCAGCAGATTATTTTTAAGAGCCGAAGTTTTGCAAGCTTGTGCGCGTGTTGACCACAAACTGCTATGATCTATTCGCCTGGTTTCACTTTCGCTTTATACCATACAGATTTTTGGAGCCAGAAAAAAACATTTTTAAGAGGATACAATCCTCTAAAAAAACCAAAAAGGACCGACAAAATCATGTAAACATATATAATCTAAAAAGAAAAAGCTACATAGCTTGAAAATTTGCACCATGCCCGATCTACGAGAACTGTTCGTGTACTACATTCGAGGCGCAACCTTTCTTACTTAATGGTTTTGGCACATTCCCCACTACCAGAACCAGAATTTTCGAACGCCTTTATCGCTGGTATGTATTTGTGCCGACAAAGCAGACAAATCAGCCCCAACTGGGCGATAATAGCATACGAGAGCAATATGGAAATAATAATGGATGGCCCTCCTAAAAATTCTCTTACCATTGCGTGGAACACCCATAAAAAGTGACGCGCCGTTTCAACCAATGCATAAGAAAATTGTGACATGCCTGTATGTGGACCACCTCTACTCTACCTTTATTGAGAGAGCATTTCTAGCTCACAGACAGCCAACAGAAAAACGCTATAAATAAAGAGCTATATTTTCATATCGAGGTTCAGATACTTCTCTCCAATCGATTAGATTGTTTCACTCAATTTTTAGCGTTCGCTGTGTAATCGTGGATTTTCCTGGGTTCACCTTGTGAAGATTTGTGATCGAATTTATTGCAATTTTAATAAAAAATTGTATATACATACCTTACGCACGATATTAAATACCTTCCCCCGGTTCTGGAGCGCATGAAAAACCCCTGCTGAACGGGAGCATCCTTGTGCGTTTTGTTAGGATTAAAGAGTTAGAGTTTCCAGATTTCCAAAACGTATTTTACATGCTTAATTAGCCCTAATCAATATTTTTATTAAGCTTAACTTGATTAATGATACACAAGATCGAATACAAAATTTAGATCTTAGAAATTCAGATTTTGGTTGGGTTATACTAACTTAATAGCGACTTTTCAAAGTTGTTTTTTGCATAAAGTTGAAGAGGCTAGCTTATCGACCCAATTAATATGTTAATTTCAGGCTCAATGAGTATTTTATACTGCTTTTCTTGAGGGTTTGAGCCCGCTCTTGTCTCTCGTGCTCACGGCGCTCGGATTTCTCTATGCCCTCCACTCTTCCTCACTCTTTTCCCTCTGCTCCCATTCGCCTACCTCGCAGCCCCAAAATATTGGAATTCGATTCTATTCCGGTATTATGCAAATTTATACTAAATTTTAAAAGCTATGATGCTTCTTTAAGTTATTACACGTTATCATACCTAATCCACCCAATTGCTATGCCTTTGCATAACCAAATGGACCGCAGATTTTCATTGGCTAATCGGTTCGCCTATCGCCCGATCGGGACTGTACGGTTCCGCGATGCGACTATAAAATCTGTTCGCTACATTTTTATGTAATCTAACGCTTTCTTCGATCCTTCAGATATAATTCATTATATCCAACAGTTATAAGATTTTCCCTTTTTTCAGGAGCCTCGGCTTCTCATGCTTGTTTTTGAACCAGTCGGCTTCAACAAAAGCCGAACTATTCAACGCTCCATTTAACATCTTTTAAATAGTAGGTTAAACGTTTTCTGTGCATTGAAATGCTGGAGATGAATCGAAAATTCTCACCATGAGTTTTAGTGCAATTTTCCGAATTATTTTTAGCAAACCATCACAACGGAAGCCGATTTCGGCATTTCACATAAGAACTGAAGCTCTTATATCGTTTGCCAGACGGTCATGTTCATAGCACGATGCGGCACTTCATCAAATGATGCATCCGGCCAAAATACGGAATGCAAATAGAAACACCTATAAACTGTGTGAGTCAATATTTATTAAAGGCATATGTATGATTACTGGCCGCCGAGTGAGCCAGAGCGGGGAGTGTGAGAGAGTGCGAGTGAAGGGAGAGAGAGCGAGAGAGTGAGAGAGACAACGAGAGAGCGGTAGAGAAAAGAACGAGAGTGAGAGAGAGTGAGAGTGATAGAGAGCGAGAGATAGAGAGAGCGAAAGGGAGAGAGAGGGGGAGAAAGAGCGAGAGAGAGACAGTGACAGAGCGAGAGAGAGAGTGACAGAGAGAGTGAGAAAGAGAGAGAGAGAGAAAGAGAGAGAGAGAGAGAGAGAGAGAGACAGTGACAGAGAGACAGAGAGCGAACCTCCACGCTTCTTAATTCAGCTTTTCAGACCATTCCATTGGCGCGGACTGAAGATATGGTTACCACTACTGTGGATCCCAAGCAATCTTATCTCAAAATCGTCCAATTTTTTATTACCCTTTCATAGGCCTGTTCTATCTAATTTCATCGCGACTCGAATTTTTAATTTTTCCTTAAAAATTCAAGAAAAATTGAAAAGGGTAGTGGCTGAAGTGTTTGAAGTGAGCGCGGCGTAGAGACAGTTCAGTAAATATGGCTGCCCAAATGTGAGGAAAAAATGATCAATGGAAGACATCATGCTCTCAAAGGAGCATACGGCCGAACTAAACCTGCAAGAAAATGCCTCGCATACTGTGGGAAAGATTAAAGAAAGAAAATCAAGATAATTTCCGGTATTGATTAAAAACAATAAACGAATAATCATAATAAACGGAATAATAAAACCAAAGGAAGCTTCATAGGCCAGTACAATGAGATGCTAATTTCGAGGCCGTGCGAGCCGAGGAGAATGAAAAAACGGAATTCGGTGACGAAAATTCCATTATCTGATG